GGGCCGCGCTCCCCCCGCAGGCGGCGGCGCGGCCTCCGCCGACGATCTCCTCGCTGAGACTGGCTGGGATATTGATGCCCCCCCAATCGTTGGCGTCGCCCTCTGCTGTCCCGCGCTAGCCCGCGTCGGCCGTCGACCTGCGGCGCCGCTGCCGCGCGCGCCCCCGTGGAGCGATGCCGCCGCGAACGCAAAGTTGGCCGCGGCGGGTCGCGGGCGCGGGGCGCTCCGATGTCCTGGATCGCCGAAGCGCCTAGGGGGGAAATCGGCTGCCGTCGCGAGGGTGACCGCGCCCGCTGGTTGCGCTTGCCACCCCCGGCTTTCCGAAGCCGTCTGCGCCCTTGCGTCGCGACGCGCCGCGTTTGCCCCTCCCCGCCGGCGTTCCGCAGCGGCGGCCAGCGCTGGGTCCGGTGCCGCGGGGGGCGCGATGCTGTTCTGCTACCTGTCGAGCTTGTCCGAGCGCGCGTGCTGCTGACTGGCGGGCTGCCCTGTCCTCAGCGAGTGGCTTCTCTGCGTGCTGGGCGCCTGTAAGGTCGTCCTCGAGGCGGGCGTCGCCCTCCTCGCGCAGCCGGAGACCGCGGGCCGCGGCATGTACTACCCCTAAGTGTTCCAGTGGCCGCGTTCATCTCCAATCTGCGCTGTCGTCGTCCTCCTCGCGCCATTCGCCGTAGTCGATAATGGACTCGCGGCTCGCCCTTGGGACCCATGCGACTCCGCCATCCGTCTCGTTCGGCCCAAATTGTGTGGTTGACGCTTTGTCCATGGTGATTGTTGTTGGCGCTGTCAACGCGGCCCATCTTTTCGTCGGCGAATTTGCCGCGAACCGACTGCTCAATCGCTGGGAAAACCGCGCGGTACTTGGTTCTCGCCAGGATCACATGTCGGGCAAACTGCAATATGAACAGCTCTCTTCTGACGCAGCCATCCCTCCGCGTCGTCTGGCATTGCGTCGTCAACGATGCCGCCCTGGCAATCAAACCTGGGCGGGTCGGTCATCGGTTCGGGCGGGCCATTTTTTCCAGTCGCGGTATTGTCTGTTGTCCTGGTCATCGCTGCCCTCGGGCTTCAGCTTGGTTTCATCGTCGTGTGATTGGACCGGCTGGGTCGGCCGCGTCGGAACCGCGGCCGCTGGATATGCCACGGCAGTGGCTGACACTGTTTCTTCTGGCTGCTTGCGTCGGAACTGTCGTAATGCCAGGCGCAAGCTATGATGCCCTGGTTTGTCGTCGGCACCATGCCACCAGATTATCAGTTGCTGCGATCGGCTCTGTAGATGGTTACTGCTCTACTCTTCCAAGAGATTCAACAAACAATACACGCCACTCGTTCGCTAGTTGTGATCAAACCTGCCGCCAGCTCTGACCATGCATGTCCATGCAGACCCTGGGGAATTCTGTGCAAGTCCCGAACCAGTGTCGATATTGCATGCCGGTGTCGCCCCACAAGGATTTGATTCTACATGTGGACGCTGGCCAGTCCTCCAGTGTGCCATCCAAAGCAAGCTATACGTAGCACCCCGCAATTGCGGATAAGAGTGAGGGGCGGGCGCGGGCGACGCGGGCGTCGTCGCGCCGGCGGACCTCGTGGCCCCCACTTTCCCTGTCGATGGCGCTTTCTTCCTCCTCCTCCTCCTCCTCGTCCTCCTCCTCCTCTTCCTCGTCCTCGTCGTCATCGTCATCGGCATCCTCCTCCTCCACCTCGTCCTCCTCCTCCTCTTCTTCCTCGTCCTCCCTCTCCCCCCTCGTCCTTTCATCATCGTCCTCCCACTGTCGTCCTCCCCCTCATCGGCCTCCATCATCGTCCTCCCATTCTCGGCCATCATCATCATCATCATCATCATCCCCCTCCTCCCCCTTCTCGTCCTCCTGCTCCTCCTCCTTTTCTTGCTCCACATTCTCCGTACATCTTCCTTTCTTCCGCGTTCTCGTCGTCCCCTGTTTACTCCTCCTGCCTCCCCCTCCTTTCCCAAGATAACTGCAACGCAATCTTTTTTTCCACTTTATGCTCCCCGCCTTCTCTGATCAAGGCAACTCGCCAGGGCAAAATTGCTGGACGGGCTGGTGTGGATGCGCGGGGCTTGAAGAGGTCCTTGCGGGCTCACACGGCATGCAAGAATCCGCCGCCGCGTTTGTGCGGCATTGGTTTGTTCAGTGAACGTGGTTTAGGTCGCGGGTGGGTCGCGGGCTCTCCGCCTCCACCTGGAAGGAATGCAAAAAAAAACCCGCCGCAGGCGCCCAAAAAATTGGTTTGTACACTGAACGTGGTTAGGGTCGGGGGTGGGCCGCGGGTTCTCCACCGGGAGCGAATGCAAAAGATGCCCGCCGCAGGCGCCGAAAAATGTTGTTTGTACCCTGAACGTGGTCGCGGGTGGGCCGCGGGTTCTCCACCTGAAACGCATGCAAAAGATGCCCGCCGCAGGCGCCGAAAACTGTAGTTTGTACCCTGAACGTGGTTTGGGTCGCGGGTTGGTCGCGAGTTGGTCACGGGGTGGGGCACGGGCTCTCCACCTGGAAGGAATGCAAAAAAGGCCCGCCGCAGGCGCCGAAAATGGTGGTTTGTACCTTGAACGTGGTTTGGGTAGAAGGTGGGTCACGGGTGGGTCACGGGGTAGGTCGCGGGTGGGTCGCGGGTGGGTCGCGGGTGGGTCGCGGGTGGGCCGCGGGGTGGGCCGCGGGCGGGTCGCGGGGTGGGTCGCGGGGTGGGTCGCGGGGTGGGTCGCGGAGTGGGCCGCGGGCTGGGTCGCGGGGTGGGTCGCGGGTGGGTCGCTGGTGGGTCGCGGGTGGGTCGCGGGGTGGGTCGCGGATTGGGTCGCGGGTGGGTCGCGGGGCGGGTTGCGGGTGGGACGACGACAACAAGCAACAACAAGCAACAAACAACAACAAACAACAAACAACAACAAACAACAACAACGAGAATCCGCACCGCGGAATTCCACTTCAGCCACGCACCCAGGGACAGTGAATGACCGTTCGGCCCCCTCACTCTGATATATATATATATATATATATATATATATAGTGTGTGTGCGTGTGTGTGCGTTGTCGACTGTTTCCCGCTCTGGCTGCACTACATGTTCGCGAGGTCCGTCTCTCGAACTGTTCTGCTACCAGTGTGGCCCATGACCCACTTGTCAGGCTATGATATCTTAGCACATGTTGACAAATAATCCCGCCAACCCTCTGGGCGTTGGTGGTTTAGAGAGTTCCCTCTTCCACCGTTCCTTCTTCCCCTTCGGGGAGGGGTTTCCCCCTCCCCCTTCCCCCTCCCCATGGACCTGGACAGGGGGTTTCGCGAGTCGTCGGAGCGTCCAAAACGGTCTCGGCGAGGAAATCAAAATCATTGATTTTACTATGGTATTGGCCCCATTTTGGCCTCCTGGGGGGGGGCGCTGAATTACCCCCCCCTCCTGTGATCGATCTCGCCCAAGGTGGCCCAAAGATGGCCCCCAAGGCTCCCAAGGGGTGGCCAGGAAGCCCCAAGAGGCCCCCAGGAGACCCCCAGGATGCCCCCAACCTCCTAGAGGCCCCAAGAGGCCGCCCCAGAGGCACCCAAGACGCTCCAAGAGGCCTCGGCGACAATGCCAAAATCGCTAGTTTTACTAAGGTTGTGGCCACATTTTGGCCTCCTGGGGGGGGCGCTGCTTCAGATGACTCCCAGAGCGGCTGGGAGAGCCAAAGATGATCTCCAAGATGGCTCAAGATATCCCAAGAAGCCTCACGATGGCGCCCACGATGCTCCAAGAGGCCCCAAGGCCGCTCCAAGACGGCTCCAAGACGGCTCCAAGTGGCCAAAGAGCTCCCCCAGGAGGCCCCGAAGAGGCCAAAATCGTTTCAAAACCTTGGGACAATAAATGTTTTGGGTTTTCTCGCCGAGGCCTCAAGATGGCTCCAAGATGGCCCAAGCGGGCTCCCAGAGAGCTCCCGAGCCTCCCGGTCCCAAGAGGCGTCCAGGAGGCCCCAGGAGGCACCAGCAGGCGCCCAAGAGGCCTCCAAGAGGCTCCCAAGAGACCCCCAAGAGGCCCCCCCGAAGCTCTCCGAGGCACCCAAGGCGCTCTAAGAGGCGTCCGGGACCGCCAAGAGGCCCCCAAGACGCTCCAAGAAGCCTCCACTGGGTACCCTTCCTCAGTGTGCTGCCCGCTTCCCTGATCGAGGCAATTCCTCTGGGCATCGTTTCTGGATGGGCTGGTGGGGATTCTTTTTCCTCGCGGGCGCGAGCGGACTGGTGGGGATTCGCGAAGCGTCAACAATTTCTCCGCATTGCTCCTTCGAGGAGTTCCTGGCGCCTACCAGGCCAACGTGTAATCTGCTGGGCTGACGCGTATGATGCCAGCTTGCGTTGACGTGTATGTGTGTGTGTGTGTGCGTGCGTGCGTGCGTGCGTGCGTGCGTGCGTGCGTGCGTGCGTGTGTGCGTGTGTGTGTGTGTGTGTGTGTGTGTGTGTGTGTGCGTGTGTGTGTGAGTGCTGCGTTCGGTTGGCATGACGCAACGGCCTTGTAAATGGCAGCGGGATGAAAAGTGGGCGGTGAGAGGCAAGAGGCAGGAAATGCAAAGGATGATTCTCACACACGCACCACTCCTCCCCCCGTTGACAGCACAGGCTCCAGAGCGTCTAGGATGGGCTCCAGTGCCTTTAGAATCTGCCCAACCACCCCTCCCCCCCTCTCATATTCCCTCCAAGGGCCGCCAAAGCCGCCGCCACCGTCGTCGTCGTCCTCATCGTCATCGTCGTCATCGTCGTCGTCCTCGTCGTCCTCGTCGTCGTCGTCCTTGTCCTCGACGTCCTTGTCCTCGCCGTCCTTGTCGTCGTCGTCGTCCTCGGCGTCTTCGTCGTCGTCGTCGCCGTCCTCGTCGTCATTGTCGTAGTCGTCGTCGTCCTCGTCATCGTCGTCGTCTTCGTCGTCCTTGTCCTCGTCCTCGTCCTTGTCTTCGTCCTCCTCTTCCTCCTCCCCCATCCCGTCGTCGTCGAGCCACTAGCCGCGCTGCGCGCGGCAGGGCGGGGCGCTCCAGGCGCAGGCACAAGAACACCCTTTTGCCTGCGCGGAGGCCGCTCGCGAGGAGGCACGGTCAGGAGGACGACGGGGGACGAGACGAGACGCCGCAGCGTGCGCTGGGGCGCGGACCTATTCAGAGTGCAGCGGGGGCTGGGGCCCTTCAGATGTCGGTGGGAAGTGCGCTCGTAAACTTACAAAGAGAAGGGGGAGACAAAATGATTGGGATAATGTTAGCAAGGGAGGGTAAGCAAGGATGAGGGTGAGGAGGGAAGGGGGGGAAAAGGGACGATGAGGACGAGGAGGACAGGGAGGAGGTGGAAGACGAGGAGCGCGAGGGAGGATGGGCGTTCCACCGCCATCAATCGAAACGGCCACACATAAAGAGAAGCTTTGGTGGGTCAGGCTGCGGGGTTCCCGCCGCATGCCCTTAAATGATTGATCACATGACAGGTCACGTTTGGTGAGGGAAACTTTGGGTAAGGAAGGACATGATGGGACGCTACGTTCAGCCCGTTCGCGAAAGCGACAGGCCATTGCGTTTTGGGAGAAGATATCAGCCACCGTGCCTCTGGCACAAAATGGATGCCGCCGCTGCAGCCAGGATTATTGTGTTTCTAAAGGGGCCCGGACCGCAAATTTCCTGGGCGCTCGTGTGCCCGTCTGGGCTGTTCCCCGTGCGTTCTGGGGTGTTTCCTGCCAGTCCTCATGACGCTAGATGCCCGTCCGAATCGAGCCCCCGAACCCTCCAAGGCCCCTCCAGTGTGTCCAAGCGGGCTCCTTTCGCCGAAAGATCGTTCAAAAACGCCGAAGATGGCCTTCAGTCGGCCGAAAAGGTGCTAAAGATGTCACAGGAGGCCTCCAAAAGGCCTCCCACGAGGGCTCAAAGAAGCAAAAATCAATGATGTTCCGCAGGATCGGTTTTTGACAGATGTCGGCGTTCTCGCCTTTTCGGTTCTCTGGCGCTCCAAGACGGCTTACGAGGCTCTCAAGATCGCCCCAAGACGGCTCAAGCGGCCTTCAAGAGGGTCCCACAACTGCCTCAGAGTGCCCCAAGACGTCCCAGGAGGCCTCCAAGACGGCCCAGGGGGCCCCCAAGATGGCTCTAAGAGGGAGCACAGACGGGGGACTCGAACGGGCATTTCGTGGCCTCGGCCCCGAGGGGCCCCCAAGATGCCTCACGAAACCTCCCATGAGGCCCCCAGAAGGCCCCAACAGGCACCCCAAAGGCTCCCAATAAGCCCACAAGCCCCCCAAACTGCCCCCAAGCGCCCGAAGGCCGCCAAAACCCTCCAAGAGGCCCCCAGGAAGCCCCCAGGAGGCCCCAAGAGTGCCCCAAGAGGCGCCCAAGAGGCCTCCTCCTACCCCTCCTCCTCCTCTTTTTTCCTCATCCTCCCCCTCCTCCTCTTCTTGCTCCCCCACGCGTTCCCCGAAGTCTTTCCAAACCGACTCGGGGAACAACTGGCCCGATAGCTTGGCCAAGCTCTGGCCCAACTGTCGGCCACAGAGGCGCTTCCAAAAAGGCAGGGGCGGCGGTGATTCGCCGTAGGCGTCTTCGATATTTATTTATATATATATATATGTGTATATATATGCACACATACACATATATACATGTATGTCTATATATATATATATATATGTATGTTTATATAACTGTTGGTTAAGAAACAAATCAGTGGATGGTTTGAACATTTGTGATATGGATACTGAAATCGATAGTGGAATCGATCGTGAGATCGACGGTGGGATCGATAGTGAGGACGATAATATAAGGTCGATCGTGAGGGCGACAGTGAAGTCGACTCAGTGAGATCGGCAGTGAGATCGATCGAGAGATCGCTCGTGAGAACTGTAGTGATGTTGATTGTGAGATCGAAACTGAGATCGATTGTGATGTCGATAATTAGATCGATAGAGAGGTGTGTAATGAGATCGATGGTGATACCGATCGATAAGGAGATCGACCAGGAGCCTGTAGGAACCAAGCAACCCAGGAACCCCGCCGCCCATCGAAACCGGCCCGGAACCAGCAACAGGGAACCGGGGAACCCGGATTCGGGAACCCGGGAACCTGGCCGCCTACCGAAATTGGCCCGGTACTTTCGCCAAATCTTTCAATCTCAGCTAGGACCCCTTCAGTGCAAGCACTGATTGGGGAGTATGTGAAGAACGATAAAGAGGGAGCACACGAGAGACACCGAAACGTATGTGCGACGCGGATACGTGACACACGTATGGAGCATACACATGAAACGAGATGCTCTTGAACTCGTCATGGGCTGAAATCATTTTACAAAAAACAAAACCGAGGGCATGCCAAACAGCGCAACTGCAATAATCTGCACTGCACATAACACCGTCTGGCGAGCGTTTGAAAAACAACAGACGGGACACACGATTTGCACACGGAAGACAACTTCTCTCCCTGGGCTTCGCGCTGAACCGGCACCGTTCGATCACACTGATGCTGCGAGGCTTCCCGACAATTGCCAGCATCGAGAGGTCCATCTACCGAGATAGGAGGGAGCGCGTATAAGAAGAGGAAGAAACAACAACACAAACATACACATTTCGGGGAAACATAAAACTCAGGTGCGGGGGACTCGGAATGGCCTGACGGGGCCATCAAGAAAATGACGAGACCCGGTCTGAAATTTGACGCAAGCTCCCCCCACGAAAACAAGATCGTCAAAGTCCAAGACGCGCTCGTCAAAAAGAGTCGGCTAACCCGAGTCCCGGCGTACTCGAGTCTTACGGTTCCCCGAGGCTCGCTCGGGTTTCTTGGATCAGCGCTGCTGGACGCGGGGAGGGCCAGGACGGGCGCTGGAGGCGCCAGGTAGGGGGGGGGTCCAGCGCAGCGCCGATCCAGAAAAGACGCGAGGACCTCCGAACACGCATGTTCATGCTGCTTCTTCTTCTTCCTACCAGTTTTGTTTGTTGCTCTTCTTCCTCTTCGGGAGAGAAAAGGGGAAAGGGGGAGAGGGGGGGTGGAAGAGAAAACGCAAAGGGATGGCGTCGACGGTGACGAGTCAGTGACGAGTGCCGCGCCAGCGCTGTCCGGGCCGCGGGCGCCTAGCTTCTCCCGGTCCTTGCTGACGAGCCGGAACCAGGGGCTGCCGAGGGGAGCGCGGTCAAGCTCCCACCTGTGCGCGAGGGGGTGGGGGGAGGATGAGGGATGGCAAGAGCGAGAAGAGCAATGAGAGGGATGCTGGTGGAGTGTGGGAAGAGGGAAGCCTCGAGAGGGGGAAGAAAAGCAGCAGGGAGGGGAACACCAGCAGGACAAGCAGGACGCATATCTGACAAATAGATACGAGAAACTGAAAGGACGGGAAGGATGGAGGGAGGAGGGACGGGGCTGAACATCAACAATCAGGAAAAAGGTAAGACGGGCAAGAAAGAGGAGCAAGGACGAGAGATGCACGAGGAGGAGCAGCAGCAAGAAACGACGGTGGATCAGGAGCTTTTGAAGAGCGCTCAGTCCAGAACACACCTGGTAGCGGCGCGGCGTCGGGGCTGGGGTGGGCCTTTTGCGCTGGCCGTTTGCTCTTCCTCCTTCTCCTCCTCTTCCTGATGTTCTTCCCTCTTCCGCGCCCTCATTCCGAAACACGCAAAGCATTTCGGGGGCACCCGACCACCAAAGCATTGCGCCCGACAGAATGGGCGTTGCAGCCAGCGGATTCGTACACCTGTCGGACAGGGCATTGCACCCGACGGATCGTGCGGTGCGCCCGACAGATTGGCCACTGCACCCAACAGAAAATGCATAGCACTCGGTGGCTTGGGCATTGCACCCGAAGAAGCGGACGTTGAGCCTCACGGGCTGGGCAGCGTGCGCAGGGAAGGATGGTCGAGGATGGACCCTCTAGCCAAACGCAAGCGAGCGATGCTGTGAGCCTCCCCTCAAGGAAGCACATGTGAAACCTGGCGCAGAGGGAGAAACACAAACAAGGGTTTGGGGGCATCGCTGTGGAGGCAAAATCAACATGCCGGATTGACCCGATCACAGCATTGGCCGACCTGGCCTAATGAATTCGGTCAGCCACAGAGCTTGGGCCAATTGACTGGAGTGACGAGATGGACTAACCTGACCTTGCCCAACGGGTCACCTCATTGGTAGACTGAATCGGAATAGCTGGATCAAGTGGGTCCATTCAAGTTCGGCGCCACCGACAGCTACGACCGACGTGGCCCAACCAGTTGGGTCGAACCCCACCAAGCGGGTGACGCTAACCATGTTGACCAAACCCCTCCCATCAGTTCGGCCACTCGGGACTGTTTTCGGGCCTGACCTTCACCGTGTGGCGCGAGGCGGCCGCGCCTGCCCGCCCTGCTTCTCCGCGCTTGCTCGTGCGATCTGCCCGCTTCCCAGCCAGAGCAGTTGAAGCAGGAGGAGGAGGAGAACGAGAACGGGAACGCGGCGAGAAGGAGGAGGAGGAGGAGGAGGAGGAGGAGGAGAAAGAGGAGGAGGGTTGCAAAGCTGCGAGGAGGAGGAGGAGAAAGGAGGAGGAGAAAGAGGAGGAGAAGGAGAAGGCGAGGAGAAGGAGGAGGAGGCGGCGAGGAGGAGGAGGGGGAGGCAGAGGAGGAGGAGGGTTGCAAAGCTGCGAGGCCTCCTGCCGTCCTCCGGCGCCACCACCACCCGCCAGAGCCAGCGGCTCCAGGACGCACAAGGAGACCTCCAGCACTATAGCCATGCTCCCCCGCGCTGTTTCGGGACGGGGAGGGAGGAAGTGTCCACAGTGACACGGGTGCCAGGCTTTCTGAATTCATTCTAAAACCCCCGGATATTACTCAAGACCGGGTTTTCACAGACACGATGCTTAGTTCTATATGTGCCAGCCTTCATGCAGCCGCGGAGTCACGTTTTTTTCTCGCCTGAGTCTTGTTCCCTGCTCCGCAGCCTTTTTCAGGGTTCAGCCTGAGTCCGCCGGAGGACGATAACGTTACTGAACTTCGCCTAGCGCTTGAGAAAAATTCTATTCAGAGAGGAGGAAAGCAGAGGGGGTGATGCGGACAGAACCAAAGACCTCGCGTGGCGTCGAAGTTAGCACCAATGCATCCGGCATTCCTCCGCCTCCGTTTCCTCTTCCTCCTCCTGCCTCCATCCCGCTTTGACAGGTCTTGATCGCTTGGAGTTGGGCTCCAAGAGCATGCGTGGACATTGGAGGAGATCTCCAGATGCAACCCCTCGTTGAACTCGCCGAGGGGCGGAATCTGGGTAGTGCGATCCCTAACGCTGGCGACCTCAGCCTCCAAGCCCGCCGTGGATCCCTGGATTAATCGAACACGAACGTCGGGTAAGCTGCTGGTCGTGCCCTTGCAATTGTCCTGGCCCTTGCCCGGGCTCGTCTGACGAGGCGGCAATGCATCTGCCCAAGCGTCGTTGGGCTCGTCGAAAGAACAGTCGATCGCCTGCCGTTAGATCCAAGACGCCGCCGCGAGCATCAGTAACTTGCTCCAAGAGGTGCTGACACGGCGCCTGTGCCGCCGCGCATGCGGCGCCGCCGTCGAAGAAAGGCGCCGCCGAGCCACCCGCAGGGGCCCCGGCTCAGGCGCAACCTCTGGAACGCCGCGCGCTGCGACAGCTGCGCGCAGCAGCTCTTCGGCTGCGCATTGGAGCCGAACTCCCTCTCGGGAGCGACCTGCGGCCAGGCCAGAAGGGCTCCTCGTGAGACCTCCATTCGCAAGAACTTCTTGAATCAGAATCCCACCAGCACTCTCGACGTAGGTGGTCTAGGGAGGCTCCTCTTCCAACCCCCTTCCTCCCCTTCAGGGAGGGGTTTATCACTGTTCCCTATTCGTATACACCCCCTCCCACAGGCGACCGGCAGCCAACCAGGAAAAATGAGGACACCATGCACACCCCCCCACCATCCCTATCAACAAACAATACGACACGCACTCTGCCTCCACATTTGGAGCATGCGCGGCCAACCCGATGCGCCCCCCCACACCATCCCTGTCACAAAAAATCCGACGGCCCCCCTTGTGGGGCCACCAGGCTGTAGGACGAAGGTTTGCTATTCCCTGCGCCAGTTCCAGTTTCCAGTTTCGACTGTTACAGTTCTACTTCTTGCTGCTTACTGTTCATTGTTGATGGACCGCGCGAGGGGGGGGGAGCCGAGAGGAACCTAGTTACCACACCCGAATCGGTTGCTCTGAATTCCTGGGGGGGGCGTGGTACACGTACAAATCCGCCGACCCTGTCGGCGTGTGTGAGGGGCTGTGCCGTTCGTCGTTGTCGTCGTCGTCGTCGTTGCAGTGCTCAAGCGGGCTTGAGGGAAATCGACCCATGTCGTAACCACGTCAAAAGGAAGCCCCTTCTCGTTGTCCCTTCCCCGGCGAGGGGGGGTGGGGTCCCGGGGGGGTTCCCGGGGGATTCCCGGGGGGGTCCCGGGGGGGGCCCGGGGGGGGGCGCCACGCTTTCACACCCCGCGCGTCCGGCGCGGTCCCCGCGCGGTTCCGGAACCCCGCGCGGCTTCCCGGTTTTCAAAACTCCCTGGAGGCCGAAAATGACGAAAGACTGAACATGTAGAACAACTCCCACTCCCCCTCCTCCTCCTCCTCCTCTTCCTCCTCCCTCTCCTCCTCCTCCTCCTCCTCCTCCTCCTCCTCCTCCTCCTCCTCCTCCTCCTCCTGCTCACTCCGCGGACTCCGCAACCCAGGCTCGAGGATCGAGGCTTTCGGACGTCGCCAGAGCCCGTCTCTTCGGCCACCCTCCTGCTCCTCCTCCTGCTCCTCCATCTCCTCATCCTCCGCCTCCTCCTCCTCCTCCTCCTCCTCCTCCTCCTCCAACTCCTCCTTCTCCCGCCACCCCCTCGACATCGACATCGAATCAGAACGATCGGATCGAAAAGGACAATGCCATGCTTCAAAATCACGCTTCTCGTGCGTTACCCCTCCCTCTAGGCAAGAAACGATACGCGGGGGTCCCAAAACGAAGCGGTGACAGATCGCGGTGACCTCGAAATCCCGACAGACCTCACCGCTCGATCAGTCACCGCACGGTTTTTGGACTTTGGAGGCCCAATACGCCCGAGAAATCCTCGAAGGGCCCAAGTCCCAAAATCGTGCGGTCCCCCCGGATCAATTCTGACTCACCCGACGGTATGGACACCGCACCTTTCAGGGACTTTCGAGATACGTCGAAAGGCCACCACGTGTCGTCGCCCCCGCTGCCGGCGTCGGAAGTCACGACGGAGTCCGCTGTGCTGGCGGTCAGGAAGACGTTTCCAGCCGGCATGTCCTCTCTCCGAATTCGATCCTCCTCCTCGTCCTCCTATTCTTCCTCGTCCTCCTGCTCCTATCTCCAACCTCCTGTGTCGCCCTCTTCGTCCTCGCCCTCGCCCTTGTCATCGCCCTCGCCCTTGTAATCGTCGTCGTCGTCGTCGTCGTCCTCCTCCTCCTCCTCCTCCTCCTCCTCCTCCTCCTCTGGGGAAACATAACAAGTTACCAATACCGCTTCTCCCTGGACCTCTACGGGGGTGCGCTCTGCCCAGGCTTTCGAAGCGAATCCAGCGGTGGCGACGAGGGCCTCCCAGGCCCCAAAAAGGCAGAAGCGAGGGAGGGGTAGCGGCGTGGGTACCTCGTCCTGCTCTGAAGCGTCGTCGTAACCCTCTTCCTCCTCCTCTTCCTCCTGCCGGCAACCCTCATCTCATCTCCGCCTCCGTGAACCTCGTCCTCGCTCCAAGCGCATCCCTCCTGAGGCTGCTCCTGCTAGCTACCCTCTCGTGCATCCCCCGTCCCTCCTCACTCCTCCGCCTCCGAAGGTCACAAGAATCGGGGGAGACGGAAACCCAGACCCCCGACGGTGTGAGTTTCCCCTTCCCGGGGGACCGGTTTTTCATCATGAGTCGTTTTTGGACAGCCCCGAGGCCGGGCGAGGGTCCCTGGAGGCCAGAAATGACGAAACATCTCCCGTCGTGTTTTTTCCACAGCGCGAGGAGGTGTGGGAGGGTAGGGTAGCACAGGGCAAGGGTAGAGAATCAGCTCACATAGCTGGTCTTCCTGGGGCCACCTGGCGCCGGGAGGCGCCCAAGTATCCAGAAGTGTGCCCCGCGGTGGGGCGGAAACCGGCCGCATGCAGCAGATGTCGTCACCCCTACCCTCTCGAGCGGCCCGAGAGAAGCCAGAATCCACCCCGAGACTGCCTCAACATTGATGGGCCAGTCTCCCACCATCCTTATCATAGGTAGGACGGGGGAGAAGGGAGGATGGGAGGCTCCTCCTCCTCCTGCTCCTCCGCCTCCTCCTCCTGCGCCTCCATCTCCTCCGCCTCCTCCTCCTCCTACTCCTCCTGCGCCTCCATCTCCTCCGCCTCCTCCTCCTCCTCCTTCCCCTCCTCCTCTCTCCTACCTACCATAGCGGTGGTGGAAACTGGCCCACCAAATATAATTCCCAAAAACCCACGCTCGAGCGAGCTCCTTGGCATTCCGCAGGCGCACATACGGCCTGCTGCCGGGTATCATAGTCCACCTGCACAGTCGCCGCGGCAGAGGAGTGGAAGGAGAAGGGAGGACGGATGAGAGGGAGAACGGGGATGGGGAGGAGGGAAGAGTGACCAAAGCACACCCAATATGCATCAACTGTGCTGCCATACACCATCCTGTCTCACATCCCCGCCTAACCACCACATCCCACTGAACATAATGCCCCTTGAAAGACCAGAGCCTCAAACACCCGCAATTCAGGCGGGAGATCCGTTTGCAAAGAAACCGTTCTCCACCCTTCGAAGGTGGAAGAATCCACCGACCCCGCTTGCCCGGGTGACAGCGCCCATGAGATAGCTGGCGGGTCCCCGTCCCCTGGGAGGTCCAAAATCGCGTCTGAGTGCAAGGGGGAGGGGGCCAGAACTCACCTGCGCTCCAAGAGGGCCCCAAGACGGGTCAACAGAACCCCCGGAGGCCTCAATGACGGGCTCGGCAACGTCCCAACAGCGCCCCAAGAGGCCCAAGATGGCCTCCAGACGTCCCAAGAGGTATCCAAGACACCTGAAAAGCGCTCCAAGAGGCCCCCCGAGAGCCCCCCAAGAGGCCCGAATCATTGACCTTCATTAAGTTTTTGAAGGATTGTAGCGTTCTCGTCTTTTCAGGCTTCCGACGCCCCAGGACGGCCCAAGAGGCTCCCAAGATGTCCCAATACGACCCGAGGGCCCCAACAATGACCCCCAGACGGCCCAAGAGGGCCCCTAGGCCCAAGACGGTCCCAGAGGCACCCGAACCGGCCCTCGGGCCCCAAGAGAGACCCAAGAGGGGTAACATGAACCGAAATTTCGATCCTTCCGCCCCAGTCTGTCCCCCGAGATCGCCAGGAGAGCCCCAAGAGACCCAAATGAGGCCCCAAGAAGCCCAAGAGGCCCCTTAAAAGCCCCCAAGACACCCGAAAACCGCATCCGAGAAGACCCCATGAGCATGCATAGTTTTCGACATCCTCCGACACGTGCGGGGCGTTCGAGTCGTGAGCTGGCTCCTTCCGCACCCCCTTCTCCCAGGAACCCGCCCCGACGAACTTGGCATGAAGGATGCCCCAGCGAGGACCCCCCGTGGGCCCCATGACCCGAAGAGGGACCACGAGGGGGACCTCGACAAGGACCCCAGAGCAACAATAACATTGCCGTCGGCATCATCCTCCTCATTCGCTTCCTTCCTCTCACCGTCGTCGTCGACGTCGCCGCCGCCGCCGCCGCCGCCGTCGTCGTCGTCGTCGTCGTCGTCATCGTCGTCGTCGTCGTCGTCGTCGTCGTCGTCGTCCATTTCATCCCCTTTCCACCTTCCCCATCATTCTCAGGGTGTCGGCGGATTGGCATGAACCTCTGGAATGATTCGACGCGGAGATCCCAATATGTCATCTCAGCTCCTGGCGCTTACGTGTGTGAGTGCCTGTGTGATAGAATCCTAGCATGTGGCGACTGCGCGATCCCTGGCCGATCCCCCTTGGAGAGCCCGAGTGGCATGCCTGCTACATCGGGATGTCTTGGGGCTCTGAAAGAGAAGGGGCCGGGGGTGCCTACACCAGCGGTTCGCCTGACTCGCCCGATCTGTCCTCACCAACCACGAAACGATCAAACCGCCCGAGACATCCGTCACAATCTGGCCGCGAACGGGCGCGTGTCACACCCCCTGGTGGCTCCCCTCTGCTGTGCTAAGACAGCGCCTCGTTCGGGACAGGAGGAGGAGGCTGCTTTGAAAACCAAAGAGTCCCCGCCACGAAGCGAGCAAGCCGTCAGAGTCATCTCCACAATCTGGCCACCGACGAGCAAGTGCAAATATATCCGGGCGGCTCCCCCTCGGGATGCCAAAATGCCACAGCCTGCGCCGTCGCTGCGAACATGGATCTCACAAACAAATAGACATGAAAACCATTAAATAACACATAACACTACAACATGGAACTACTAGTACTAGTGGGTGCAACAACGAGCAAACTTCTTGAGACGTTCCCACCAGTCTGGCCGCAAAACGGGCGAGTGTAACACACCCTGGCGGATCCCCCTTGAAGTGCCCAAGCGCCACGCCTGCTTTGCTGCGGTGACCATGAGACTTTCAAAAGAGAAGAGTTGGGAAGCCAAAAACAAACAACCCGCTTGAAGCATCCCCAGTCTTGCCGCAAACGGGCGAGTGTAACACACCCTGGCGGCTACCCCTTTGAGTGTCCAAGCGCCACGCCTGCTATGCCACGGTGACCATCGGACTTTCCTAAGAGAGGATATATGAGCATACTACTCAAAGTATGACCTGGCTGAATGTGAACGGTTCTTAGTGGGAGACGATTGTGTGTGAGCGAGACTTAATTTGAGCAATCATGAGTATCAGTGTATTTGAATGAAAGCAACTCAGACTAGCAGTGGATCATAAGTTTAGTGAGTCGGACTGTGAGGGATTCTGAGTGTGAGTGATCTGAGTGCGATGTGAGGGAGGGAAGATGCGAGAAGGAAGCGGAGGCGACCCAGTGAGAAAAAGAAACCATGTTTGTGTATGTGATGTCGTATACAAAGAACTGAAATTAATCCATGACGGCAACGTAACTTTGTTGTGTCCGCTTGAAAATGTGATCACCACTTCGACCGAGATCTCAAACAAACCCCAGTTACAACATACATCGCCCTACCATCCGAGTAACTGGTGTGCAGTGCTACAAGACATATCACACATACCCCCATCTTTAACAAGAACCGCCCTCCATATGTGCATCTGCTGGTCTGTTTGACGCGCGTGTCCGGACAGCAAACACCGAATTCTGAACACCACCCGCCCTCCACCACTGCAACTGCCGCATAACTTGATGACGTGTGTGCGCGGTACCAACTCGAGAGCCTCATGTAGAAAACGAGTCGCCCTCCATCCACGATATTCCCACCAGCCCTCTGAGCGTAAGCGGTCAAGGGAGATCGTAGCTCGTTCTGCTAACCCCCCCTTCTTCCCTCTCGGAGAAGGGAATGTCCTCCCCCCCGCGAGGCATGAGAGGGTCCCGTTTGGCCCCTGGTGCCTCCCAGAGGGCCCCAGCGAACCCGCGAGGCCTTCAAGCACCGCTCACGGCATCCCAAGATGATCCAAGATGGCCTCCCGCACGCCTCCAAGGAGTCCACACGACCGCCCCAGGACGGCCCCAAGTGGTCTCTGAGCCTCCCAAGGAAGCCTCCAAAAGACCCCACGTATCCAAAACCAGTGCTGTTCAGTGTGCGTGTGGGCGTTCTCGCCGTTTCGCTTCCGAGGGGTTCTGGAGGCCTCGGGGTTGCTCCAAGGTGGCCCGAGAGGGCCCCAAGAGGGGCCCAATATGGCCACAAGACGACCCCACGAGTGCCCAAGAGCGCCCCAAGAGGCCAAGTTTCGGGACCAGAGGGGGGGGCGGGGCACTACTCGAGTATCCCCCACTTTTGAGCAATGGCTTTGAAGATGGGCCCAAGGTGGCCCGCAAGGCCTCCGAGAAAGCCCCAAGAGAGCCCCAAGAGGGCCCGACGATATCCCCAGGCGGGCTCCAACAAGGCCCCAAGAGGGCCCCAGGAGGCCGCCAAGACGCACCAAGACCAAACGATGTGCAAAGAACTCGATGGTTGACTGCTGACGTCGTCGTCGTTGTCGTCCCTGTCTTCGCGTTCATCGTCGTCCACTTCCTCCTCCTCGTCATCCTCCTTCTCCTCCTCCTCGTCCTCCTCATCGTTCTCCTCCTTGTCCTCGTTCTTGCCCTGGTCGTCGCCCGCCTCGTCCGCTTCCTCCTCGTCCTCCTCGTCCTCCTCCTGGCTGTCCTCCAGAAGGTCCCGGTGAGCCCCAAGCAGACCGCAAAACGGTACCATGAAGACCAAAACAAGGATCCTTCGGAGCGGCGGATCAGGGCACCTCGCCTGGCGATCGCTCCTGGATAGGCTGGCAAGGATAATTTTTTGGTCCGCGGCTCCGAGGCGAGAGACAGGGAGCGAGCACAACGTCCGGGGCGCGCTGGCAAGGATAAGCGAAGCGTCAATACATGTACCATATGGCTTCAACTTTATATCCACTTATCTGAAGATTACTGCACCATTGCCCCATGCTGAGGACAGACTTAACCGTACGGCTTTACAAACTGTGCTTCAGCATCCGTATTCTGCGCGATCGTTCAAACAATATCAAAACATGCAATGCACAACCAACTGATATCAACTCCCCTGCATTCCAACGGAGCCATATGAACAATGCGAGGCATGCGCGGTGATCTGACAACAGCGTTTAGTAGGAACCCGTGCTAGATAATGATATTGGATATGGGGGCATACGCGCCAACCCATGTCGAACGTAATCCAAGACCAATGATGCTAAAATCGTTTGAACCGGCATAGGCCAACAACGGGTGCGTATGCTAAGGAGATGCCAGAAACCCAATGATCGCAACCACTGGAACCACGTCGTACCTATAACCTGTAATGCCATTCGGGCACGGAGGACAATGCAAGCCGCGCGCCCGTAAAGATGCCACGGCCATCGCGCAGACACCACACTGTAAACCATAATGTGCGGCTCACGCACGCGCGTCGCCTCGCGTCCGCGTTTAACCCATTGCAGAAGGCTTGGCTTTCTGGACGTGACCACAGTTCTGTAACAGCAGATGGGAGCAAAATAGTGCTCGCCCGTCGATATCTCAAGGTTTCTGCGCGCGCATTTCATCATCCTCGTCATCACCCCCACTGCCAACCAACATCACCATCACCGCCAGCACCGTTCTTTTCGGCAGTCGAATCACCAGCATCTTCACAGCAACCACCCTCGTCGTTCAGTATAGTCGTCATGGTCACCACCACAATCATCATCGTCATCGGATTTCCCGTCGTCATCATCATCATCACCTCAACCACCATGATTATTCTCGTCGTCGCCGATATCGTCGCAAGCATTATAACACGCTCGCCCGAACCATGCATCTGCAGGGGGAATGGTCCGCGCGTCTCTGCCATTGAGCTGTGGCGACAAGTTGCGGGTGGGTGGGTGGGAGTTTTGCTCGAAAGCTCGAGTGGTCGACTTCCATCGTTCACCCCAAAAACATAATACGACGTAGATCGTGCAACACATGGTGCGACCTATCTATTGTGTGCCGTAAGTTGCAGCGCGTATCTTGCACGACGTGGGGCGCACCCCATATTGCCGCATAATACATGCGACACGGATCTGGCATCATTTAGCATGCAACACGCGGACTGTCGCTCTGCATTTTCTTGAAAAAAACAAACAAACAAAAACCGAATTGGGATGCAGCGCCCACCCGAAACTGGGATTGTCGACCTCCCGACCGTTCCGGGGATGTGCAATCCCACCAGCCCTTTGGGCGTGAGTGGTTTAGAGAGCCCGCTCTGTCCTCAACCCCCCTTCTTCCCCTTCGGGGAGGGGTTTGCCCCTCCCCCTACCCCCTACCCCTGGGCCTGGAGAGGGGGTCCCGCGGGTCGTCAGGGGGGTCAATTTCGACTCCTGGGAAGGCTAAAAAACGACACCCCTCACGAGGATTCTGCCCCCGACGGGGGGAACGAGAAAAAAACCCTCTCCTCTTCTTTGAAGGCAAAATCATTGATGTTACCACGGTTTCGGCCCCATTTTGGCCTTCTGAGGGGGCAGCGTTCCTCTTCCTTCATGGCAAAATCATTGACTTTACGAAGGTGTTGGGCTCATTTTGTCCTTCTCAGGGGGCAGCGCTCACTTGCGCTTCTGAGGAGGTCGCCAGAGGCCCCAAGATGGCCCCAAGAGGCCCCCAGGAGGCTCCCAGGAGGCCTCCAAGAGGCCCCCAAGATGGCCCCAAGAGGCCCCCAGGAGGCTCCCAGGAGGCCTCCAAGAGGCCCCCAAGAGGCCCCCAAGAGGCCCCAAGAGGCCCCCAAGAGGCCCCCAAGAGGCCCCCAAGAGGCCCCCAAGAGGCCCCAAGAGGCTCCAAGAGGCCCCCCAAGAGGCCCCACGAGGAGCCCGAACGACTCACACCAGGACGAGGGGCCCGAACGACTCACACCACGAAGAGCCCGAACGACTCACACCACAAGGAGGGGCCCGAACGACTCACACCAGGACGAGGCGCCCGAACGACTCACACCACGAGGAGCCCGAACGACTCACACCACGACGAGGGCCCCGAACGACTCACACCACGAGGAGCCCGAACGAGTCACACCAGGAGGAGGGGCCCGAACGACTCACACCAGGACGAGGGGCCCGAACAACTCACACCACGAGAAGCCCGAACGACTCACACCAGGACGAAGAGCCCGAACGACTCAGACCACGAAGAGCCCGAACGACTCACACCAGGAAGAAGGGCCCCAACGACTCACACCAGGACGAGAAACCCCAAACGACTCAAACCACGAGGAGCGATTTCTCTCCCTCCTCCTCCGCCTCGTCCTCCTCCCGCTCCCACCACAAGGAGGATGTACAAGGAGGCGGGGGGAAGGAGGAACAGGGGAGATATGCGGGGGCAGGCGGAAACACGCCTGAAAAAACACGACTGTCGGCATGCTTCGCAAGAGTGGCTGTTTTGAGATGGGCTGGTGGGGATACGCGAAGCGTAAAGAATTTACGTATGGTGCTGCCCCATCGGACATTCGAAATGTCCATTCATAGGATCCCACCCAAAACAGTTTCGACAGCCCTCCCCCCACCATCCGTTCCAACAAACAATATGTGCGCACACTCGTTTGTTAAAGCGCATCAAGTTCCAATACTGCAAGTGCGCGCGTCGTCGCGCGCACATGCCGAAATCCTTCAAACACCTCACGTGTCGCAGAATATTCAACATCGCATGCCCCGAACAAGTATGACAAACAATTAAACCATGGTTTTTTTCCACATACCCCCATCATCTGCAACCTCACGGGTGTCTCGCGCGCGCATGCCGCAATCGTTCGAAATCCCCTGGGCTTGTGCTAGGGGGCACGACCAATGTCAAATCATACCGTGCGGGCCACTCGCGCCCGCTGGGCGCGCGCGCATGTCGGAAACCTTCCAAAACCACTCCATCACTGACACGTGGACACTACCATCATCACCGGCGCGATTTGCATCGGCGCAATCATTGGTCTCGCCGTCGTCACCGTCATCGTCGTCACAAGCATCGCAACGATCATCATCGTGTCTGCCTTTGTCGGCGTCGCCATGCTAACACGCCTGTCCGAATCACCGACTCGCACTGAAGTGCCCGCGCGTGAGCGCGGCGGCATGCGAGGCGCGTTGGAAGCTGGCCGCCCTACGCGCGAGATTGCGCGCGCGAGCGCGGCCGCAGCGATGCGCTATCCAGCGCCAAGCAGTCATCGCAATCGCTGCCGCATGGGTTTTGCAAATAAAAGTGCGGCTGGATGGGACGATTGCGAGAACAGTGGAATGGAGAACGCTCTGACATCTTCGCGTTGGAGTTCGCACACGAGTTTGCAACGTCGTTCACCCCACACTGATCACGATTTGAACTTCCATGCGAAATCATACGATCCCCACGCGGACTAGCAACGGCCCCTCGATTACCCCTGTCAAATGGTGCTTTGCGCGCGCCCGATGTTATACGCATGTTCCAACAACCCCTTACGACAAACAACACAAAACTCAATGGCGCGCGCACACGCCAGAATCAGATCATACAAAAGACTTTACAACCGTTCCAAGATATACACACTGAAACATCAACATCTGATTTTCGATTGAAGAACACTTGTCTGCACAAACACACCTGCTGAAATCACACGGACAGAATGATATTAAGACTATCGTCCAACACACACGCATCCTCATTTCAACACGCGGTCATTCCGCGTTGATGTCGCATACGTCCAATGCACGGGTCCGAAACAAAGAATCTCACGCGGGCCATCATCATAATCGCGCGCCGTCGCGCACGCGTTTCGAAATCCAATATGGTCGAGCATAAGTGTGCCAGGCAATTGTCGACGTCATCTTGGTACCGCGCCCGCCCGAATTGAAGACCCGCAGTGAAATGGCCGCGCGCCAGCGCTACCACTGAGACGCGCTAGAATATCAAAACCCGCAGCCGCGATCATGGCCTAATGGGTTATGCCAAAACGACGCGGGTGGGAATTGAAGTGTTTGCAGCAGCATTGGAGTGAATAGCTCATAGTGGCAGCATGACATTGCACACCAAAACTTGCATCAAGCAGCCTGCGCCGCATAGCTTGTACCGCAAATGTTGCACCATGCACGTTGCAATGCAAAGGCCTCCTCGTCCTCCGTTTCCTCGTGATCCGCCTTCCCTTTTCTGCCCGCGTCCACTCTCCTTCCTTCTTCCGCAGCGCCTTCTGGCGTTCCCAAACGTCTCCGCCCTCGCACGCCCGCACCGCGCTCGGGCCGCTGGGGGGAGGCGCGCTGAGCCCGCGCTGGAACTCGACCCTTCCAGAGGGGGAGGGGGGGAGGACACCATGAGTTACCTGACGCTCAACAAAGAGGGGGGGGGGGGAAAGAAGGGGTCATTCCCCTGCCTCTTTCTCCCCCCCCCCAACTTCCTCACGTCCCTCACATCCTGCCTCCTTCCGTCCACCTACCCCACTTCCTGCCTTCCCTCCTCCACTGCCCTTACTTCCCTCCCTTCCTATCTTCTGTTAGAGACGAACCAGGACGAGGATCAAATATGGTGAGGATAAGTCGAGAATCTCTGAGATCTGGCGGTTCTGGAGGGTGTCTCGGGCGCCGCGACCTTCCCACAGCGTTCCAGAACGCTATGAGAGCGTTCCCGAATCTTCACGGATATATCCTCGTCCTATCCCCATCCGACCGTCACATTTCCTCACTTCCCTCCTTCCGTCCTCTTCCCCGGTTCGGGGAGGGGGCTCTCTGGGCCTTCCAGGCCACATGCGAGGCACGCTACTCCACCTTCTGATAAGACGAAGCCAGGACGAGGATACAATCGGGTGAGGATAGATCGAGAATATCTGAGATTGGGCGGCTCTGGCGGACATCTCGGAGGCCGCGGCCTTCTCAGAGCGTTGTGGAACGCTCCGAAAATGTTCTGGAACGCTCTGGAACGGATTTGTCCTCGTCCTGGCCCCGTCCGATCTGGGCACCTCTGGGGTACGCTGCCAGAATAGTTAGGAGGCAATTCTCGGGAGGTCTTCTTCAGAACGATTCAAAGCGATTAAGCCCGAGCGAAAGGCCATGGAGACGGATTAGCGCCCAAACTGAGCCCCGGAGTAGGCCGAATTAAGCGTGATTGGCCGAGACCAGCCCACAGTAATCAGGTGTATGCCGGATAAGGCTGGTCTTCGACAATGGATCCTCAAGCGCCGAAGCTGAATGTAACCTCCAAGGAGCTGCAGCCTCACAATAGGTCGGATCGCGTGCAACAAACGCCAGAGATGCTGCAGCACGCGCTAGTATGGGATGAGGGGGATGAGAAGGGGAGGAGAAGAGAAGAGAAGAGAAGAGAAGAGAAGAGAAGAGAAGAGAAGCGATGAGAAGAGTGAGGGAATTATGTAACAAGGATCTTCAAATGTGTTTCCCGAAATCTGGTCTTACTTGCTCGCCCTGTTCACTCCGAAAGGCTCCGAAACAACACCACACAATCCGCCCACTTCAGCCAGCAAAGTGCGAGACGCCTCCGATTCAGCGAGGGAACCTTGCAATCAACCCGTATAGTAAGGCTGCGCGGTAAGGGTGCAAAGGCCTTGGACACCCATGCCGAGGCTCTTCGAGCGGAGCTGGCCATCGAACGTGGTTGAGGATGAACCGAAGATGACCGAGGAGGCAGGGATGCAAGGGTGCCCTTGGGAAGCCGCTCATCCTTACTGTGCGGGCTGACTGTACTGCCCGATTCTCCATCCTCCTCCTCCTCCTCCTCCTCCTCCTGCCCCTCCTCCTTCTCGTCGTGCTCCCGCTCCCTGCCCCCAGGTCCACCACGAGTCTACGCCTGCGGTCTCACCGTGCCAAGGGAAGAGCTTCTCAGGGTGCTCGGCGACCTTCGCGGCTCCCACGGCTCCTGCCCCCACACACAAGTACCCATCGGTCGAAAGAAGTAGGTAGAAACATAGAGTAGGAAAGCGTTGAAAGCAGACTGGGTTCCGTCCGCCCCCCGAAGGAGGACAGAAAAGGTGAAGCCACTCGATCATTGAAGTAGGAAGGCGCTTAATGTAGACTTGAATCTGGGAATCCAGAAATACCTACTTCCAACTACCGATGGATAATTACGTACTTCTCCTACCTCCTCCTCCTCCTGGCCTCTGCTCCGCCCCCTCCCCCCTCCTCTCATCTCGATCCCATTCAACCTCCCTGCTGCTGCTCCTACTCCTCCTCCTCCTCCTCCTCATCCTCCTCCTCCTCCTCCTCCTCCTCCTCCTCCTCCTCCTCCTCCTCCTCCCCCTAGTCCTCCGGCTTCTTCTCATCCCCCTCCTCCTTCGCCCACTACCCTCCCCCTCCTCCTCCTCCTGCTTCCCGTCATCGCCCAAATATCGTTCCGAGACGACCAAGATGGCCTCAAGAAGGCCCAAAGACTGATGGCCCAAGAGGCCTTCAAGACGCCCCAAGAGGCCTCAAATAGGCCTCCCAAGAGTGCCCCAAGAGGCAACAATCATTGATTCCCAACCATCCTGTGGTGTTGGGTCCTCGTTTTGAAGAGACAGCGCCGCCCGTTCCTCTCCTTCCTTCCTCCTCCCCCTCCCTCCTCCCAGCATCATCGTCATGCTCATCCGCATGATCATCAGAACGGTCACCATCTTCATCCTCATCGTCGTCAACATCACACCATAATCGGCATCACGCTCATTACCATCATCATCATCATCATCATCATCATCATCATCATCATCATCATCATCATCATCATCATCATCATCATCATCATCATCATCATCATCATAATCGTCATCATCATCATCATCATCGTCGTCGTCATCATCATCATCATCATCATCATCATCATCATCATCATCATCATCATCATCATCAGTATCATCATCATTCACATCAGCATCACCATCATCACAATCATAATTAGCATCATGATCCTGGTCAACAGCATCGTCATCATCACCATTATCGTAATCGCTATCGTAAACGTCATAACCATGATAATCATCATCACCATCACTATCGCAATCACCATCATCACCATCATCACCATCATTGACATCATCATCATCATCATCATCATCATCATCATCATCATCATCATCATCATCATCATCATCATCATTATCATCATCATCACCATCAATGACATCATCATCATCATCATCATCATCATCATCATCATCATCGTCGTCATCATCATGAGCATCGACGCCATCATCTCCATCATCTTCATCGTCATCGGCGTCATCATCACCATCATCGCCATCAGCTTCGGCACACCCTTCACACGTTTCGTGGCCCCAGAGGGAGCTCCATCGAAGGCCCCAGTGGCTGCGCCCGCATGCCTCCCCCACACCCATTTCGACACACCCCTCACACGTTGCATGGCCCCATAGGAAGCTCCACCGAAAGCCCCAGTGGCTGCGTCCGATTGCCTCCCCCACACCCATTTTGGCACACCCCTCACACGTTGTGTGGCCCTATAGGGAGCTCCACCGAAGGCCCTAGTTGCTGCACCCGTATGCCCCCACACTACCAGACTTCGGCACACACCCGGACACTCTTCGTGGCCCCATAGGGAGCTCCACCGAAGGCCCCAGTGGCTGCGCCCGCATGCCTCTCCCCCACCATCCATTTCGGCACACCCCTCGCACTCTTCGTGGCCCCATACCGAAGGCACCAGTGGCTGCGCCCTCATGCCTCCCCCACACCCATTTCGGCACACCCCTCACACGTTGCGCGGCCCCATAGGGAGCTCCACCGAAGGCCCCAGTGGCTGCGCCCGCATGCCTCCCCCCCACACTGTACATCGCTTCGTGGCCCCATAGGGAGCTCCACCGAAGGCCCCAGTGCTACCGCCCGCATGCGTCACCCCCACCCAGTACAGCGCTGCGTGGCCTCATAGGGAGCTCCACCGATGGCCCCAGTGCTACCGCCCGCATGCGCCCCCCCACCCAGTACAGCGCTTCGTGGCCCCATACGGAGCTCCACCGACAACCCCAGTGCCCGAATGCCTTCCGCCCCAGCCAGTGCAGCGCTGCGTGGCCTCATAGGGAGCTCCACCGAAAAATATATTCACAACTGCAGTACTCACAACTGCATATGAAGTGGTCCTTCGCCAGGGTAATTTGAATTAGGCGTTTGAGGGGTTGTGGCGATCTCGTTTTTTTATGCTCCGATGCTCAAGGACACCCCGAGAAAGAGCCCCCCAAGAGCACCCCAAGACAGCCCAGGAAACCTCCAAGAGGACTTCAATACGGCCTGAGAGCGTCCCACGACGGCTCCAAAAGGGTCCCGGGGGAGGGAACACGAACCGAAAATGCGAGCCTTCCGCCCCAAGAGGACCCCCAAACGATCCCAAGAAGCGCCCACGAGGCCCAAACGAGAACCAAAAAGGCCCCCAAACGGCCCAATGGGGCTTCAAAACTGCCTCCAAGAGGCCCCCGGGAGGCCCCCCACGAGATCCCAACAATATCCAATAGGTTTCAACCTACAACCCAAGCGCGGTGGCGGGGTGGGCCGAAGGCCGATCGCTGCAGCGACACCACATCCACACATGTGAAGTTGAGGGCCCATAGTGTGGCTTCCTCCGCTTAGGTCAGTGGCTGTCGCCAGCCGCTGGGTCAATTCAAACATGGGCGATCGATCCAACACTCATCTGAAGATCTGATCTAAAGCGCAAAAAAAACATCCTCTAAAGAAACACCCCGACAAGCGAACCCGTTCAGAAAACGCACGCAAGGAAATAATCGAACAGGACAGGGCTGTTCAGTAAACGCCCATCGCCGCTGACTGAAAGCAACTTATCGGTGTTGGGTCAGGTTTCCCTCCCTTGATTTCCTGAGCGAGCCAGATGAAGTGTTCATTACTCCTGGTAAGCCAACGTCTCCATTATGGGGCATGCATATGAACCGAAGGCATCAACGACTCTGGGCTTCTTCGGTCGATCGAAGGACGGAGGCTTATGCCGCATCTGCCGTTCGAATGCTTGGACGAAGTGGCTCGGGAGACGATCGACACTTGTGGATGTCATATACGTTTCTGGCCGCAGAGGGGTCACATAAATGGTGTCGCCGAGTCGTTTTCTGAATGTCCCGAGGCCCAGTCAGGGCCTCGAGAGGCTGAAAGCGATGAGATACCCACGACTCGTTGTATTCGAGACGCTGGATGTCTAGGATCCCGCCTCAACTCTGTGGCGGGGCCCCATCATCTCGACCAACAAGACAGGTTGCAAGGCGGGCCGCGGGGGGTAGATAGCCTGAATGAAGCTGGAACTGCTGATTAATCCTGGTTTCCTTCCCTAGGGGTGGGGGCTACTCCTCCACGCCGATTTTTGGCACGGGAATGTCGCGCATTCCATCGCAAAACTATCGACCCCCCCCAAACAAACCAGGGCACCCTGGAGGCAACCAGGGTGTTTTTCGGCATGGGTCGCCACTGTAGGAAGTTCAGGCGGAATTCTTTGGTCGGCACTCGAACGCCATCCGCGGCGCGCGGAGCGCGCAAGGCTGGCGCCGCAGGGTGGGCCAGCGCCGCCCCGAGAACTACGCGCGGGCCATGTGTCTCAGACGTGCACGTCTGTATCTCCCCCCAACCTTCCTGAGCCGTGGCTGCGAAGGGTCGTGCTATATTCCTCTTCTAATATTTCTATAAGCCCGGGCGGCGGGACCCCCCCACCACCCCTCCCCCCAAAACTGGACTCCCAGGATCTGGGGCTTTGGGACCCTCCGAACGGGCCTCGAAGCGGCCCCCCGGGCCTCGTAGGGCGTTTTGCCAAGCCTTCCCCGCACACCTAGTGCGATCAGAAGGGGTCATCGGGGGCGTCCCAGACACCCCCAAGACAGCTCAAGAGCGCTCCAAGAGTGACCGACGTGACCTCAGGATGACCCAAGATGCCTCCGACACGGCCCCAAAGGCCGCAAAAAACCGCCAAGAGCACTCCCAAGAGGGCCCCAAGAGGCAAACATCATTGATTATCTATGGGTTTTTGGTGAATTGTGGGGTTCCCCTCTTTTCGGCTTCCCGACGCTCCAATATGGCAGTCTTCTAGGCGTCCGAAGCCGCCTGGGAGGCTCCAAAATCGCCCTGCAACCATCCGAAAGGGCTTCCAGGCAGTCCCAGAGAGCCCCAAAACTGCACAACAGGGGTCAAATATCCCTAAGAGAGTCCCCTAGTGGCCCAAAACGGCCCCAAAACACCCTCAGAAGCATTCCGAATCATGACCCAGTTGATCAGGGATACCGCGGTTGGAGGCAGGGTGGCCCGAGGAAACCCCCCAAACCTCCAGAACACGCCCAGGAGGCTTCCGCAAGGCCTCGAGAAAGCGTGGAACTTGTGTAAGGCCCCAAGAGGAGGCTCCGCAAAAAGAGCTGGGGAGGATGGGGAACATGCGCAGGGTATGGCGAGAATGGAAGAAAAACATGGAGGACGGATAACGAATAACATTATTTTGGCGGCGATGTTGGGAAAACGACAACAAGGAATTATCGCTAAGTTGTCGGTTCGGCCCTCCTGCCATTCCGCCTGCATACCAAACTTCAAGGACCAAGGTGCACGGCGCGAAGCGCCACTGCAGTCTTGTGTATACATGTATGTATATATGTCTATGTGCACTTATGTATGTGTATATATATATATATGTATATGTATATTATATATACAATGAGAGAGAGAGAGAGAGAGAGAGAGAGAGAGAGAGAGAAAATAAAAATAAAAAAGAAAGAACGAGAGAGAGAGAGAGCGAGAGAAACGTCGAGACAGAGAAAGAGAGAGTAACAAAAGAGAGAACAAGAGAGAGAGAGAGAGACTGGAAGAAAAAAGAGAGAAACACATAACCAAACGAATCGCCCAACCATATGCAGGTGTGAGTACCGCAGTTGTGATTCCCTTT